GAGCAATATTTCTAAGTAACATTATTGGACAGCCTATTTTCAGGTTAAGTTTTGCAAGTGGTAATCCTTTGGGGCTGAGGGAATTTAAAAATTCAGTGGGATAAATATTATTATTGTTGGCACCATTTTCTGATATGGAATTATCAGCGCTAATGTATGTGTGTTGGTTTCCCGGAAGTAAGTTAAGGACTATTTGATTAATGTAATCAACATCTTGATTCCGAGAAGAGAGAATGGTTCATTCGCTAAGATATTTGTCATTACATGTTCCAGTTAAATGAATGTTAGGATAAGTAGAGCCTATAAGTGATTCTAAACTTTGTGGTAATATTTTCATATAGTATGGGAGGGATAGTTTATCATCTGTAGTGTTAGTACCATTTCCGACCTAAAATATTCATAATATTAAATATATAAATTGCTTTAATATAAATAAAGTGTATTAAATAATTACTTTCCTCTAATAGCCAGTATGCAAATTCTTGATTTTCTTCTAAGTTAGCATTGAAACGCATAATTTTTTTTAATGTAAGTACTGTAACATATTTCCATAAGTAAGATCGTCTAAGTGAGGCAGCTACAATTTCTTCTCTGGATCCTTTTGCAATAACTGGTAATGTTTGGCGAAAGTCATCTCCAAACACAACTGGAATTCCACCAAATGGATGACTATTATCACGAATATCTCTTAAAGAACGGTCAACTGCTTCAATACCATAACGGTGTTGCATGGGTACCTCATCCCAGATAATTAGTGATGTTTGGCGTAATAATTCAGCATCTTCTAAATTTTTATTAATTGAGCAAAATGATATTTCATTTACATTTAGTGGAATTTTGAATCTCGAGTGTGCTGTACGTCCAAGACTTAGTAAAAGAGATGCAATTCCTGAAGATGCAACACAAAGAACAATTTTTCCTAAGCTACGAATTTTCATTGCTATAGTATTGTATAAAAAGGTTTTGCCTGTTCCTGCAACGCCATCGATAAAAAATAATTTGTTATTTTGTTCAATTAATGAATTGATAATAATATTATAAGCAGCTAATTGTTCTTAATTTAATTGTGGAACATGATAATTAATCATATTTTGAAGTTCTTGGTGATTGAATGCTAGTTGTTCTTCAATAATTGAGTTTTTTTATAATAATTCCAGTTATGTTTTCAGAGAGGTATTTGTGAAAACTTACTTAGAGATTGGCCAGATTGATGAAGTATTTCATCTATAAGAAAAAGACCGAAGTCAAAAATTTAGTCATCTGTAGGTGCATGTATAGCAAATTTTTTGTGCAATTGATATAAAAGATCATCACAAATATTAGTACGGAAGCGTAACCATAATTGTTCAGGATGAGAAGGTGCACAATGCATAAGTATTATAGCAAAGAGTGTTCTTAATTGAGAGCTTGTACGTAAAACAGAAGCTTCCTCAAGACATTGAATCCATTCACTATCAGTTTCTAATAGCCCTAAAGCTAAACATGCGCTTTTAAATGTCGGATGAACTATATTGCCTACAGTTTTAAGGTGGTCAAATGACTGTGAACCATGTACAGTAGTAAGAAGAAGCCGAAGGTAAAAAAGTTCACTAGCAGAAGGATTAGTAAAGTATATTCGTCCAATTGCAAAACCTTGCTGTCGAGGTGTCCATTATTTAGCTTTATTGTTCCAAACGAAATGTTG